TCTATGTCTATGTCTATGTATATATATGTATATGTATATGTATATGTATATGTATATGTATATGTATATGTATATATATATATATATATCTGTGTATGTGTGTGTATGTGTATGTATACGTATATGTATATGTGTGTGTATGTGTATGTGTATGTGTATGTGTATGTGTACGTGTACGTGTATGTGTATGTGTATGCGTATGCGTATGTGTATGTGTATGTGTATGTGTGTGTATATATATATATGTGTATGTGTGTGTGTATGTAAGTACATTCACAAACCCTAAATTGCTTGCGAGACCCCAAGAAGAGCTGCATCCTTCTGAAACTAGGCCTCCTGTCAAAGCCCCAATAAGAAACCCTAGAAGCCTAACGTAGGGGCCTTAATAATTAGAACAGGGTTTGGGGTATACTCTAGTATAATTATAATAAGCAGCCCCCAAACCTCTATTCTAATTATGAAGGCCCCTACAAAACCCTAGAAGCCTAACCCTAAAGGCCAATCTCTCGACACCTAAACCCCAGAAGTTTAAACCCGGCAGCTTGAACTCGAAGTCTGAAACCCTGAAACCCTTAAGCCCTGAAGCCCAGAATAGAAGTCTAAACCCGAAAACCCGAAACCCCGAAACCCCGAAACCCCGAAACCCCTAAACCCTAAACCCTAAACCGTAAACCCTAAACCCTAAACCCGAAACCCTAAACCCATTTCCCTAGACTCCCTGTCTCCTGCTAGATGGACGGAGATCCAGGCGTCAGCCATGGTGAGGAGACCTTCCGATGCTAATTCCTCCAGCTCCTCAGCCGTGGAGGGATAACCTGCCAGCAGGTTTAGGGTTTAGGGTTTAGGGTTTAGGGTTTAGGGTTTAGGGTTGAAGGTGCAACGCTTCATGTTTGGGTAGTTCTCTAATTCAGGGTCCCTTGTGGCGGTCCTGTTTATAAGGGCGCCGTACTATATTGGGGACCTAAAAAAAGACCCTAATTCAGAGAACTACCCATTTACATATGTATTTCTATCTCCCTGTGAGCTGCCGGACATGCCTGGCAAGGTATGAGGAGTTGTAAATTATTAAAAAAAACTGGCAGCTTCCATTTCAGCACCTCGTCCGTAAATTCCGTTTCGAGGTGGGTGGCTATTGATGTATATCTGGCTGTGTGTTTGTGTGTGTGTGTGTTTGTTCGTCCATGTGCATGGGTGTGTATGCGTGTGTTCGAGCGCATGCATGCAGGTGCGGAGGCAGGTAGGTAGATAGGTAGGCAGGCAGGCAGGCAGGCAGGTAGGTATCCACATGTTGTTGTTTGCTTGCATGTACTATGTGTGCTTGCATCTATGCATGCACGCGTGCTGCATGGCTGGTTTAAGCGCAGCCGAATTCGGATCCAAACTTCCCTGGAAGTTTGGACATCTGGGGAGTACGCCCCTCCGACTCCCACACCCCTCCTCCTGGGATCACTTTGGGAGTGGAGTGTTCCTTGTTTGGATCAGCCTGTTGTTCGGTCCGTACCGTCTGCTGAGAATGCAAAACACAGATGTGCAAATAAAGAAAACAAGGCAACGCTAAACGTAAACGTGCAAACCTGGCGTCCTAAAGGGCGAAGCCCGAACGCAACCGAAACCGTGAACACTCAATCATTCATCATAACCCTACGCCCCAAGTCCCAAGACCCCTAAACCCTAAAGCCATAAACCCTTAAGCCCTAGTGTCCCAAAGCTGCAAAGCCTAAACCCTGAGCCTCGAAATTCTCAACCCCATAGACCCTTGATAGAACCCAAAAATGCCCCGGCCGTCCGTCAACAGGTGTGCAGCCTAAACCCTATCCCTAGAATTCTAGAATAATCCTTATAGAAACCCTTATAGTAATCCTTCAAGGAACACCTAAAGGAACCCCAAGAAACCTAAAGCCACATCCTTCAATGAACACCTAAAGGAACCCCAAAAAACCTAAAGCCACATCCTTCAAGGAACACCTAAAAGAAAAACCTAAAGCCCCACATCGAGCGGAGGCCTGTCACCAGGATCGTCAGATCCGGCGCAGTCGGAGAGGTGACGATGCTCATCGACTTGGACCTCTCCTGCTTTGGGTTTTTTAGGGTTTAGGCTTTAGGGTTTAGGGTTTAGGGTTTACGGCTTTAGGGTTTAGGCTT